AAGGGCACCCGACGGGAACAGTGAGCGAGGCCAGAGCGACAGGCAAACACACAAGGCCGGCGCCGCCCCCGACACCAACAGCGACACGGCCGGGGGGTTGCTCTGCTGGTGTGAGTGGTTGAGCACACCCCCGGGAGTGGCGTAGTCGGTGTCGGGAGCCGAGCCGGAGCCGAACGGGTTGCTGTCGTGCTGGTAGGGCGAGTACGCGTTCCCCGAGGCACCCTGCCGCGCCTGACACGGCAAGGCGCTCGTTCAGCTACACTCGTCCCATTGGCAGGGTCGCCGGAGACAGCCCTTGCCGCGCCGGCGGCGTGAGGAAGGTGTCCTCGTCCGCCGCGATCTCCAAGACGGTGCGGGGCTCCTGCTTGTTGTCCAGTGGCCAGTCATTGAGTGACGGGGCGTCGTATGCGTCATCTTCACCTCTCAGCCACATCATCCCCGCTGTATCTCGGTGGCATCTTGTCTCTCTCGGCTAGATCTCGGCCATACCTTGGCCATACCTCGGCCAGATATCGGCCATACCTCGGCCATACCTCGGCCATACCTCGGCCAGATCTCGGCTAGATCTCGGCTCCTCGACGAGTCGCTGCGGCTGGCGCGCGTTCGCAATCCGCACTGCGAACAAGCCGACCAGGCAGAGCCAGACACAGAGCAAGCCACTCGCGGCGAGGACGATCGCCGCCACGCCGAAGGCGAGGAGGCTGTACCACGGCCGATCGCGGGAGCCGAAGACGGGCACCGTGCGCAGCTCGACGCCTGAGGGACAAAAAGAAATGCGGCTGGCAAAAAAGAAATACCGCGCGCGGGCGGCGCGTGCAGAGCTCTCGACGCCTACACGGCATGCGTTGCACTCGGCTCAGTCCTTCAGCGCGCGCCGAGGCGAGGGGGCATCCGTGCGGGCGGAGGTGCCGGCGAGCCGCGCGATCGGATGCGCGCTCTCCCACGCGTCGGCCGCGAGCCGGTCCCACACGGACATGTTCAGCGGAGAAGGGGGCGGCGCCGACGGGTACGCGCGCACCGCCTCGTGCGGGTCGTGGCTGTCAAGGTCGACAGACCGGCCGTCCTTCGCGAGGTGGCCTGAGGTGAGAGGGAGGGTAGAGTAGCGGGCGCACGTCTCCACACACACAAGGTGGTGGTGGGGCAAGGGCCAAGCTAGTCCCTCGCGACTCCACGTCTGGACGACAAGAGCCCGGCGCGGCATTCAAAGTGCAGGGCCCCGGTGCGGCATTCAAAGTGCAGGGCCCCGGTGCGGCATTCAAAGTGCAGGGCCCCGGT